TCCTGTTCCTCCTATTTAGCTTATAGGAGCTAAAGCATAAATACATCCCTTAAATTTATGGAAGTAAATTCCCACAGATCAAGAGATAGACAAAAGGCACTGAAAACGTACCTCAAAAAGCAAAAGCCTGTCTGATTATTGATTCAACAGGTTGCACTTCAGATTTCTTATATTGTATTCCAACTGGCAACAGCTAACTGGAAATACTGAAAAAGGCAACATCTTCAAAACTTTAAGCTGATAATTCAACACCTACAGCACTTACTTTGATGATTTCAGCTTTAGGGTGACTTATTAAAAATACGATCAACATACTCAAAGCATAGCAAAAGAGAGATGAAAGCATTTCAGCTCAGTCCCATACTAGAATGGTTTATGAGAACTAATATTGTGCCGTTATATTGCTAAATCAATAGTCTGTGCCTCAAGAAAGGCCAGAATGAGTCTACATCCACATATGCACCGGTATTTTACTCAACATTGCTTTTTCCAATGCATTTTAGCCTTCATCCACATATAAACAGCATATAGGATTAGTGAAAACTAAGCTTTTGGAAAACTCCTGCCAGGATAAAGACCTTTGGAAATTTCTTTTACTGCAAAAAACTAATAAAGAAAAAAAAATTACCCGATTTCCTAAAAGTCCAAAGTTTAAAATGAGAGTCGTCTTTAATAATTTATTCCAGGTTACTTAAGAATATATAATCATTATAGTCAAGTAACGGGTTAAAAATGTTAGTACTCAGCAGCACCATCAGTAAGACTCCAGCCGATTAGTAGCAGAGCTAAATTCAACTTTTTGTGGCCTGTTAAGTCTCATCTTCATAGCATAATATTTATTCATAGAAGGAAAAGGGATGAGCTTATTGTTTATTCAATTTCTAGCAATGTAAGGAGGCATACTGTAAGCAACAGTCAGCGTGCACCCCAGTGGACAAGCTATGGGATTTTTACATTACCAAGTGTCCACTTATGCCCTATGTTCTGTTTAAAACAAACAAACAGATAAATCTTCATATGATATACTCTGATACAGTTATATCTACGACAGGCCGGTAAAATCAAAATCAATAAAATGAGTCACACTCAGCAACAATGGATGATAAGTGATAGACATGTTTACGAGCTTCATATTTAGAAAAGACATAAGCAAGCAGGAAGTGGAGGTGGTGAGGCAAGATAAATGGAAGTAATACAACATACAAGGTACTGTAAGTCTTGCTGCTTGATAACTGGAAGAATGAAATACAGGCTGACGAGGCAGAACTAAAATAGCGTCATGTCCACTCAAAACATGAAAGCATAGTGAAAGAGAAAGTGAGCAAAGTTACACAACTAAGAAGCAAGGCACTAGTAGTGTTGAGAGAGGGGTGGACACCAGCCTAGTCTTTCATGTGTTAGCCACTCCCATGAGTGGTTAAATCTCAAGGCCTCTAGCAGCTGCTCGGCCTATTGTACCGTGTGTTTAGCGGGGTGTGTATGTGAGAGATACAACCACCAGCCAGTTTCCGTTTCAATACTGCCTGTGTCCGCCGGCCCCCAGTGGCCTCTACTTCTCCTAAACAAGAGCTGTGATTACAACAGAGCAGGAACCACATGGCAAACACACTCATAACAATAAGAGACACTTTTACATGACTTCCTCAAAATTAGTTCGGTATACAGCAAAGGGAGAAAATATAGAGTCACGTTTCTCAATCCTACGCAGTGAAACACTGTGCCTGCCTCTGAGATTCTGCATGCATTATCCTCGTCTCTTATCTTCTTCTCGCGCCGTGATGTACGCAGGCAACTAGTCAGGCTCTAGCCAAGCTCATATCCACAACACCCACTTCATCAACTAACTGCCAGTAACATTCGAAACACCTCGTGCATAGAAAAGTTTATCAAAAAACACAATATATTATTATCAGTGTTCCAAAACTCCTTGTCAAGCACAACGACCTGTTATATAACTCCCAGTAGTAGCACAGATCTTTGGTGGCTTTGTGGCGTCTGCATGCAATGCAGAAAATGAACACGCACATAACCAAATTTGTACTTGCAGTGACGGTGCCAGGGCTGGGGAGGCATGAGAGGAAGAGTGTGACGACATGTGACTTCGCAGTTCCATCTGCGCTGAATGGATGTGCCAGACACACGCATAAAGTTACCCTGGCAACTGAGCAACAGCACTGGTTGGAGGTCAGAGAGAGAAAAGGAGAGATGCAGACCAAAACGCTCCTAGAATATGTAGAAGGAGCCCACAAACCGACTGCTTATTCATTTAGAAAGCTGCACTTTGCATTTTCTTACACAGACGCATGCAGGCTGCGTCTAGGAACGTTACACATAAACAGCAGCCAACGTGACGCAACGTAGAGCAGAGACACACAATCTGAGAAAGACCAGGGGTTACACTTGATGACGCAAAAGCTCTACAATGCTTATCCCTTTCTCCTGTAAACACACGGCTCCGATTCTGAGAGGGGAGTTTTATTTCACTCACACAGATGTAATCTCCGACTAATCACATTTGCAAGCCTTGGACGGAGCAGTTACGCTGCAGTGCTGAACAGATGGGCCCACGTAGATGAAGCATTTCTGGGATTAGCCTGGCCCAGACGGCGGAGGTGGCATGTAGAGTTACCAAGGGACAGTTTCGAAAAAAAATAGCTGGGGCTCAAATTACATTACAGAGAGTCGCTGAATATCAGTGATTGTAAATGGAAGTGTATGTGATGATGCTAAAATCCTCAGTATAACTGATTTTCTCGCTCAGACTGTAAAGGCACTTTGTTTAAATTTTTGGAATACAGCTTGCTAATGCACAAGATTAAGTGGAATATATAAACTGAAACCAACATGATATTTTTGTATACAGACAGGAAGACACAAAGAATCAGATTGACCACTAAGAAAGAAAGAAAGACTCCCAATAATCATTAAAAACAGCATTTGTAAATGGGGTTGCAGATGGGAGTTGTGTTCCTCTGGACTAATGCAAAGCTCCATGTAAGGTAGAATAGTAGAGCAACTGTATTTTATTGGATTACATTCCTAAGCCCTAGGGATGCACTGATTGTGAAATTCTGGACTGACACCAATGATTAAAACATTTCAGCCGTTAGGCTGTCCAGATACAGATTTTGTTAGTTTGCATTGTTTTTGTAATGATTCATTCTGACTTCTTGTGCCAAAGAAATTTATCTTTGTTATAAAATTAAATAAATAACTGTCAGGCGTTGATTACATTATCTTGGATCAATTCATTTAAATTTATTAAACTGGACCCCAGATACAAACAAAAGAAGAACACGAGCCACTGCCATCAGTGAATGTAATCTCGGGGTGTTTGCTACATATATAACTTTTTTTTTTTTTTAAAGGAAAAAAAAAAAGAAGAAAATAAATAAATAAATAAATAAATTTGCCCTTCAACTAAAGGGAAAATCACCAGGTCTATAATAATAATTTATTGGTTATGAAAATCCCTTTTACTTATAGGCTGGTGGCAGTCAAGACAAACACAATCCTACTAAGCCCAACATTTAAGAGGAGCTGACTAAATGATTCAGATGCACCCTTCAAACACACAAGACTACTGTCTTGAAGACTAAACTTTCACTGTTCTCAATGCTTCCCCTTTCTTTACTTTGAATTAAAATGAAGTTAAAAACCAAAAAGAATTCCAAGCAGTTTCTTTCTTTGACATTTGGAAGTCTGAGGATTTCTGGCATTTGGAAGGAAATAGTTTTCCAAATGCCAAAGTTTTCTCTTCCTTTAGGCTCAACATTAACTGTAAGTACTCCGTGACTATGGTCTTGGAACTGGCATGACTGCCACAGTAATACTACCCAATGGATAAAAAACCTTCTGCATATATTTAACTGTTACAAGGGGCTAAGGCAAACAGGACTGTCAGTCATTTCTCCATAATGCGACACTGCAGCACTGTAAAGGCATGCTAGTCATGTGCGTGAACCAGTAACCTCGGGGTCATATGTTAAGTTTTGGGAACAGCAGCCTCACACAGCCACACCAAATATCATATGGAACATTCCTTAGAGTCCTTTAAAACAGGGCGAGAGAGGCGAGCAACAGCAAAGGGTCACAGAGGACGCTCACAAAGACTGCTGCACAGGACTGAGCAGAGGGAGTGGAAGATAAGATGTAACTGCTTGATTTAAACCTCCTACCAACTGCACTTCCAAAATTTCCGATCAGTGAGGTTGAGAATCCCTGGTTGCCCCCCTTTTCTCCAAATAACCTTCCTGTTCTTCTTTTGTGGTTATTCTTAAACTAAGACATGCTTTAGAAAAGATGAGATAGACGTTGCTTGTGCACTGTATTGTTTGTGGGTGAACCCACACCACACCCAAAGCACTCCCCAGAGGGGTGCTTTGCAGGGGGTTCACCGCCAACGAGCCATCCCGAGCCTGCAGTGGCCCGTGGCTGCTGAGTAAGCTGTGCTGGTTTAGCAGCACAAACGGGTCGACATAAACTCCCTGCCCCGACACAGAAAGTCAGATACACTAATCGCTAACTACCTAGCTCTCCCCACTCTTCTCAAAGATTTCCATGTGAATTAGCATGATGCATTTACTGTCAACTAGCTTGCACGTTGATCTATTGTTAGCCTCACATCAAACTCCTTGGTACTGCTTCTTGATGTGTGTATTTGTGTGCGGTGGGGCGACCTGTACATTCACGTGAGTGGATGAGATAAGAATATAATAGCTAAAATACAATGCTGCACCCAGCTACAGAGTCTGCGTTACAAAAAAAAGACGACCAGCCTCACTCGCGCTTTGCTCCAGTATCTCCGCGTCCGCTCCTCGCGATGGATGCCGATTTACTTTGATAAGCAGCCTGCATTTTAAAACAAACACACCCAAACCGCTCGTCAAGCTTGCCGCTACGTTAGCTAGCTATCGCGACGGATGGGAAGGGATTTCTTTGCAATTGTGTCGCTAACGATGGCAAACTTTGTCCCGTCGTGTTCTGTAACTGTAACTCACCGAAGTGCGCCGTTTTGCTCTTTCTTCTTCTGGTATTCCAGCGGGCACATCAGCGGAAAGCAGGCTGCTAACCGTTTTTGTTAGGCTAACACTCCCGGACACGACGATGCGCCTCGCAACAGCTGTGTTCTGTTTTGAATGAGGGCTGAGGAGGAGAGGAGACGCCGCTAACGGGCGGAGCTTCCCGGGTGCACAGCGGGCCGATCTGCCCTTTATCCTCTGCAGTAGCTCTTAATGTACGGAGACCTTTTGCTACTGTTTATATCATCCGCAGGTTGTCAATGCACTGCCAGTTAAAGGCTTGGCAGATGGGATTCGCACAGCCCGCCCTCTATTGTAGTGCCGGACTTCTGTTTGAAAGGCTGGTTGGCTTCAAAAGGGCTAAAAGTTCATGGGTTCTCCTCTGACTCCCTCTTGTGGACAAGACACCATTGTGCTTTTCAAAATTGTTGAGAAGACTATTTTTTCCACCCTAGTTATAGTGTTTGTGTCTCCACAGTGGAAATGGCGCATTTTATGCGATACAACTGGAGTTAGTGATGACTTCTCAGCAGTTTTCACACTTTGCGATGGCATCTGGGCAGGTTGAATTAGACCCTTTAGTGGGGCAGTTTTGGCCCAGGCCACATGTTTGACGTCTCTGCTTAGTATAGTATAAGCTTAATATAAAATCTCCAAAGCAGCACTAAAACTAGGTGTGAAATAACAAAAAAAAATTAGACTTTTGGGGAAAAGGAAAACTAATAGAAATGATATTAATGATATAACTAAAATAAAGTGATCTAAACCTTTTTTATCTGATGGGTATATTTGTTTCAAACTGTATAGGCTCATGTGTAGTCATTTATACACCACAAATCACAGAAACATGGGGAAAAAAATCAACACTTGCACAGAAATGAGATGAATGTACCATTTTTATTTTTTTTGCAAATGTTTTGAATGTATTGATGCACTTAATCATGTTTTTAAAAATAATAGACATTATCTTCAATCTTTGAACCCTGTGAACGAGGTGGGTTTATTCAAACAAACTATCTAACAAATAATCTAAACCAAAACAACGATAATTCAACAAAAGTGTGCTACTCCCCAAACTTAAGCTGCCTTTCCTTTTCTATACCATGCAGCTCCCTCGCTCGATTTTTCAGCTCCTCTGCTTTCTTTTCATCCTTTTCTGTACCATCCCCAAGTCTGTACATGCGACTTGCATTGGCACAGCCCCACACGTGTCCCAGCTCACAAGCCCTGTTAGCGTATTTTAGAGCGAGAGCCATATCTGATGCCAGCCCTTTGGAATTGCCCTCAATGAACAAAGCGCTGAGGTTAAAGCAGGAAGGAGCGAATCCCCCTGCGCAGGCCTTCTCATAGTACTGCCGAGCTGCTTTCAGGTCAGGTCCTCCTTCCATAGCTTGTCCGTCATGGGCTAAAAGACCAACATTATGGCAAGCGTCTACAGACTTCTTTCCTCCAGAATTGCAGGAGTGCAGAAAACAAGAGTAGGCTGCTTTTAGACACTGGGTGACTCCACCTGGTGGAGAAAAAAAAAAGATTAGGGGACTGACTTAGAATTTTGTAATGGCATTACTTAAGTAGAAGTAACCTTAGAGGTCATTCATGCTAGCAACAAGCTGCAAAATGTATCAAAGGATCAAAATTACAAGTAGTACTTAAATGACTGGTGATAATATGTGCACTATATTATGCACAGTTGCTTCAATAAGTCATCGCTTCAGAAGCTTATCCTGGAAACTTTTCAGCTTTTACAGTTGTGCTGACACAAAATACTGTGACAGCTAAAGGAACCACGGACCAGTTAGGCTTACTGGTTGCCCTTTCATGAGCTTTTCTTATAAAATCTTAATTTGAATAAAATAAAATGGCACAATATTTCGATTTCACATTGAAATGTAGTAGGGTAGATATAAAAGTCTAACAGAAACTCAAAGCCTTCAGTATAGTGTTTAGTATTTAACACTTCAGAAAAGATAAATAAGGAGGTTAAATATCCACCTTTGCCGGTGACATGGTAAGCACCGAGTTTATAGCAGCTCTCTCCATGCCCATGCGTCTCACAGTTATGTTTGAGCACTTGTGCTGCAGAATCGTAGTTCTTCTTGACCCCTTCCAAGTAGTCAGCGAGCCTTTGGCACCCTAAAAGCATGAAACAGGGGGCAAAGAGTGAGGAAAGCAGAACTGCATAACTACCATGTGTTTCAGCACCACCGATCTGTGAACAGCTCAGAAACTTCTACCTTCAGGATCTTTCTCATTGTAGCACTGAAAGCTGTACTCCACGCCTAAATTATCCAAAAACTGCTTCACTTCCTTCTCGTCTTCAAAATTTATAAGTCCAGCCATTTCTCCGCTTTACTTGAACTAGTTTCACCTCTGCAACAATCACATGTGCTCAGGTCCTCACGGCGTCCACCGCTGCTGCTTGACCTTGATGACTGACTTTGATATGCGATGCTGAAAAAGTTCTTCCCAAAACGCAAAGGTCTATCTGGATGCTTGCCGCTATATGTGAAGTCATTATATGAGCAAAGTGTGCTTGATGGTATAATAGTGTCCCTTTGAAAAGCAGATGGACGCGGTCACGTTTGTCTTCGGCTGTTCGCTTCCTGGTTTTGTAACCCTTCCTTGCGGGCTTCCGTAGTCCAGCCTCCCTTCGTTAATGTACTTCCGGTGCTATGACCTTTGTTTACTGTCTGTCTAGTCGCTCTAGTTAAAAATAGATCCAACTGCTCACAGTGGAAATTACATGCCAAACAGGTTTCTAGGTTCAGTCTTTCGGTCGCTTCAGCAGCTGGTCGACATGAATTCCCCCTCATTCGTAAGCTTTCGACGTTTTTGCTCGCCTGGTGATTTTCTACCACCGAGACACCAAGTGAGCTAGCTAGCTGGCTCTCTGTTAAGCTCCGTTGTGTTCGTGCGTCGTCACGTTCTCCTGGTACCTCTTAGAGTGATCAGCAGCTCCTCAGACTCTCACACAGGTGGACACTGTAAATTGAAAGGGAAAGAGGTGTCCGAGACGACGAGCAGGCTGGTTATATAATCACAAGTCTCGGTTGTACACGCTAAAATATATTTGCTTTTAAAGCCTTTGCCATGGCCTGCAGTTTCCTAAACACGGTAAGTCTCAGGTGATTTATTTGCTTTGACAGTTGTAGAAAATTGTACTCGGTGCATCCACATCAACACACCTCTTGGTTTTCAGGAGGAGGCGTCTCCAGCGGCTCTGACAGACCTGTGCCTCACCTATGTGAGCCAAAACCTGGAGTGTTTCTGCGTGAAGCGCCCTGATGGCTCCTTCTGTTTCAGGGAGGCTGTACTCTTCCCGCAGGAGCTGGCAGACCAGCTCCTGGCCAAAATGGCCACTGAAGGTAAACCTTTAAAGACGTTTACGAATAGTCAAGAGTATTGCTGCAGCCTAGCGCTCTAGTTTCTACACACATACATTATTCATTGGATCATAAAAGGTCACCATGATACCGATGAGGATGAAAAATCTTAATTTGCACTTGGGGGAAATATTTGAAGTGAAAGCCACTTCAAACTGATGGCCAGTAAACTAAATCCTTGCCCTGGGTAAAAAGCCAGTGTTTTTTAAGGTTGTGCTTGATTCCGAAAGATAAATTCACTCTGCTATAGGTCTGCTGAACGACAGCACAGTGGGTGTGTTTCGGAACTGTGAATACTTGCGGTTGAGACGGGCCTGCATCCGTACTGCACGGATCTCTGCAGAGGCCTTCCAGAAAGCCCTGTGCCCTCACAGATTGCTGGAGTTGGATGCTGCCCGGGTCAATGCAGACCTTACCATTCCTGATATCCTGCAGGGGCTGGCCACTAATAAATATTGTCAGGTAATATGAGAGTGTGTCAATTTTTTGTGGATAACTGCCCTTTCTTTCCACAGTATGAAAGTAATTTAAACTTTCTCCCTGCAGGAGTCCCTTCAGCGACTTGTCCTTACAGGCCTCACCATGTCCTCTCTGGAGGAACCAATCTGGTATCGCTTCAGTGCCCTCCAGGGCTTGCGTTCCCTCTCTCTAGCTAATGTAGACTTCTACGACTCTGGGCTAGGCGATGTGTGTTCCCTGCCTCGGCTGGAGAGCCTCGATCTTTCTAATACTTCAGTCACAAACCTGAGCCCGCTGCTGGGCCTGAAGGAGCGGCTGCGCTCACTGACACTGCATCAGTTGAAAAGGCTGGAGATGAGCACTGCTCAGCTGCTGGGAGTCATAGGCCAGTTGAATGTATTGCAGGTTAGTGGTTTGATTGTGTGTCTAGTATTAAACCTGTTTCTCTGTTTTTGTTTTGTTTTCAAAAACATTTTAAGAAAACTCCATCTCTGAGGTTTTATAAGCCATGCCTGTTTGTGTGTGTGTAAACCTTTGCACATGCAGCACCTGGACATTAGTGATGATAAACAATTTACCTCTGACGTGGCTCGTCAACTTCTCGGACAGCCAGGGATTCTGCCCGCCCTTGTTTCCTTAGATGTCTCAGGGAGGAAACAGGTGTGTTCATCTGCTTTAATATTTTTATTTGTTTCTTGGTTAAACCGCAGTCAAAGCACACATATTTTAAAGTCGAGTAATTTCTTATATCTGTGAATGTTACAGGTGACAGATGCAGCTGTTAAGGCATTTGTTGAAGAGAGGCCAGGAATGACCTTTGTGGGACTTCTGGCCACAGATGCTGGTTTTTCAGACTTCCTATCAGGAGAAGGAAATCTAAAGGTAGGTATAGAATGATCATTAATAGGCACTAAACAAAAAGTGAAAACATCAGGTTTGCTGAAGTATCTTCTGTGTGCCATCAGGTGACTGGAGAAGCTAATGAGACTCAGATCTGTGAGGCACTGCGGCGCTACAGTGAAAGAGAAGGTTTTGTGAGAGAAGCTCTCTTTCATCTGTTTAGCCTCACTCATGTCATGGAGAAGCCAAGGCCTGACATCCTAAAGGTAAACACATTATCGTTGAACCTATTAAGTTATTATTTTACTTAATCTTTAAAAGAAATTATAGCATCATATCATGGTTAAGTAGTGCACATAATGTCTTAACCTTAATTGTTCCCTTTGTCAGCCACAGATATCCTCCTTAAGTGAAGAAGCACTATACTACCATTGTATCTCTGCACAGTTTAGTTACTCATCATTCTCGACTTCCTGTTTCTTGAATTTTTTTTCTTCCTCTTTCTGTGTTTTTTTTTTTTTTTTTTTAATAGCTGGTAGTTTTGGGAATGAAGAATCATCCGTCCACTCTGAATGTCCAGCTAGCCGCGAGCGCCTGTGTGTTCAACCTGACGAAGCAGGACCTGGCAGCAGGGATGCCAGTTCGACTGTTGAGCACCGTCACTCAGCTTCTACTGGAAGCCATGAGGACTTTCCCCAACCACCAGCAGGTAGCTTCATGCCTGGCTGCTTTTGCTCATTCCCAATAAACAGTTAGTTTATAACATAGATTTTATTTATTGACTGATACAGTTTACCTGCACAGGAAAATTTTCTTTCTTCTTCTTCTTCTCTTTTTTTTGTCCATTATGTCACAGTTTCTCATAAAATAGCTCTTTGCATGTTATAATGGCATTCACTGAAACAATTTTCCTTTCACACATTAGTGGATTTCTTGATTTTAAATGTGTGGGTTTTGTAACTCGTAACATAGAGGATGAAATGGTCATTTACAAAAAAAATAACAGCTAATAAGGATAAATTGGAAATTATAATTATAGATTATAAATCTTTTTAAAGGGCACAAAGTTTTACCATTTTAAAAGCATCAAGATTGTCGTTGCTCTACATGGATTTTATAGCCAATTTTTTTTTCTTTTTGTTGCCTGTTTATACAGTAGACATTATTACATTCACTCTCACAACCTGCTTCTGCATACATTAATAATAAATCAAACTTGGTCAACTAAGTTGTCAGATAGATGTGTTAAACAAAAGTAAGAAATCAAGTTTAAAGGCGAGCACAGTTTTAGTCCAGTATTCTTGAGGGTAGTGGCAGCAGCGTGTCAGCTTTGGAGAACACTGTGTTTGCTGGGTCGTTTGGTAACGCCTGTGAGTGTTGCGACAATATGAAATTTAGAAAGATTTGAGGAACTTCCCACAACCACAATAAGTAGTTTCCCTTTTTTTTACAAAACACAAGTAAATAGTGCACTGCGTAACGTTATGTTTGTTTGTTCCTCAGTAACAAGATTTCCAAATCAATACAGCCTGTAATGGAAACAAATGCAGGGATCTGGTCACAAGTAGAAATGAACCATTATAGGAAGTGACGTGCACAGCTGGATATTAGACAAAAGGATTTGTTAAGCGATACACATTTTATTCTAAAATTATGGGGAAAACGTGCTTTGTGCGATAACTGTTCAGTGTTGTGATGATGTACAGTTGAGGTTGTGTTGTGTTTTAGCCACATGCTGAATAGGCAGTTTTTATAGATAGATGGATACTTTATCTATAGAAGCATAATAAAAAATAAAAATGAGTCCACAGTAAATAAACAACACAGTTAAAGTGCCACAGGTGCATAGTGAGTAGAACTTATGCTGTGTGATAGTACAAGAAATGTTGCTCTTATATAAAATAAATAAATAAATAAAAATGGGGTAATTAAAGAATAGTAAAGTAAGACTTAGATTGTGTGAGAGTGGTTCAAATTACAATAATAAATAATATCTACACTATAATTCTTAGAAATATGATTTGAATGTTACTTCTTGTGTTTTTATGTCAAACATTTCCTCTGTTGGATGTTTCAGACAAGGGACAAATATCCCTTGAAAGGTTGTGATGGGAATCCAGCATTTTAAAAAAACAAATATCTGTATCCATCCACTGTGGTGAGCTTTTATAAATAAGGGAGTGTCCAAAAGAACCTTTGTTAGTTCTGTTGTTTTTCACTGTGTATTTTCCCCATGTCGTCCACTAAAGAGACTGTCCACAAAGTCAAGAGGGAAAAAAAAGGATTTAGCATATGCTTTCTAAACTAGCTCACATGTTTGCATGCGGAATTAATGTTTCTCCTATTGTTGTAAGCTTGAAAATGCAGTTTATCTGTGAGCACTGTTATATATTCATTTTCCATTATATTTTCCTGCACAGGCTCTAAGTCAGATATAATATTTAACCAGCCTATTGTGACTAAACAGAACTGATAAGAAGATAAAAACATGGGAGCAGCAGGAGCAGCAGTCTGATAGCTTTTAGGTTCTGCAATCATGGCTGTTTTCTCTTTTTATAGTTGCAGAAAAACTGCTTGCTGTCTCTGTGCAGTGATCGCATTTTGCAAGAAGTTCCATTCAACAGGTGGGAAACACCACATTTGTTGTGTAAATATTGATCATTTTGTTATGAGGTTTTCTTTTATTATTTTCTTTTAATTTTTAAATTTTCATTTTTTTTTAAAGGTTGTCAAAGATTTTAACTATAAACATGCCAAAATGTGATCAAAGTTCATTCGTAATTCTCGGTTTGTGACGTAACACATTTTCAGTAAAGGTAGAATTTAAAATGCTCTGCTTCCTTTTACTGTTTAAAGGTTTGAAGCTGCCAAACTGGTCATGCAGTGGCTTTGCAACCACGAAGATCAAAACATGCAGAGGATGGCTGTGGCAATCATTTCCATACTCGCTGCTAAGGTACATTTGGTGTTGTATTAGTACCACATATGCGGTTATTCATGCATTGAAAGTACATCTGTAGGGTATTTTCTTTGAGTGCTGCAACATTTGCTTTTTTGCAGTTATCCACAGAGCAGACGGCCCAGCTGGGAGCAGAGCTGTTTATCGTGAAAGTATGTTTTAAGTTGTTCTTTTGTTGTTGTTGTTGTTGTTTTTTAATCTTGGATGACTTTCATCTGCCTTTACTCATTTATCGAAAAAAAGGCTGATTTTCAGTACAATGCATTCTCTCTGCCCTGCAGCAACTGCTCCACATCGTGCGTCAGAAGGCAACTCAGGGCGTGGTGGATGCCACCCTCAAATTTACACTGAGTGCACTCTGGAACCTCACTGATGAATCGCCAACAACCTGCCGCCATTTTATCGAAAACCAGGGGCTAGATCTGTTCATTAAAGTTCTAGAGGTACATGGAAATTATGTGAACATGTAAAGAAAACAGGCAATGCTACATACAGAACAAATTTAAGCAGATTTCTATAGGAATTCATCATCACACTTAATGATGTGTTCCTCCGTATAAGTACACATGGCTTCGGGGCAAGATGACTCACTGTTGTTTTTATCCCTACCTCCCCCTCTCTTTATCTGCAGTCGTTCCCCAATGAATCTTCTATTCAGCAGAAGGTTCTCGGGCTTTTGGTGAGTTTACTTCTCTTTTTTTCATCCCGAAGCTAAACTGAATCTGGAATGCGTTAACAAAATTAAGGAATCATTATTCCCTGCTCGCCTTTTGATTGTTGTAGAACAACATAGCAGAGGTTGGGGAGCTGCATGGAGAGCTCATGGTGCAGGGGTTTCTGGACCACATCAGCAGTCTGCTGCACAGCCCGGAAGTGGAGGTCAGCTACTTTGCTGCAGGCATCCTTGCACATCTGACGTCACGAGGAAAAGAGGCCTGGGCGCTCAGCCCGAGTCTTCGGTCCTCACTGCTTGAGCAATTGGTAGGAATAAGCAAGCTTAATGAGAACTCTTGTGCATAAATACAGTTATTGGAAATGTTGGTTTTTAGCGTGATGCGTTTGTGTGTCTGTGCAGCATGCTGTCATTATGAAGTGGCCCCCGCCAGAGTGTGAAATGGTGGCCTACAGGTGAGATACAGCTTCTATTCAATAATGATGGAGTATTATAAAAAGGATGCCAAAACAGGAAACCTTCTTGCCGAGAGGCGACTATGCTAACTATTGTGTCAGCAAAATCTCCAATTTATAGATCTCAGAGCCAAATCTTCCAAACCTCATGTTAATACGTTACATTCAGTTCAATGTTTTGTTTTTTGTTTTTCCTTAATGTATTTGGAGACAAATCCTGTAATCTCAGGGCACCTAATATTATAACGCCAAGACCCTACAAACCAATAAATTGAAGCATTTGATGACAGTGGGGGGGGGAACCGCCTTTAAACTCTAAAAGACCTCTAGTAGAATCGGGCATCCTTTATCCTGAGACAGACAAAATAGATAAAAAAAAGGTGCACACAGAGATGATAAATTACAAACAAGGTAAAGCACAAACTGTAAGCAAGTGTAAGCAAAATTAAATGGCAATAGTCATAGTGACATTTCAGTATAATGTGGGTTTAATGTAAGACATTAGGGACAAGTGCGTAGTACATCCCAGCCTCCAGAGTCTAGCATAACAAAGGAATGGTTCAGGGTCACCTGATCCAGTCCTAACCATAGTGTTTATCAAAAATGAGCATTTTAAGCTTGATCTTAAATTACCTAAGAGACGCGATGGCTAAAGGCTCTGCTTCCAATTTTTAATCCTGTCACACAATAATTGTCTTTTTCTTCCCTTCTTTAGGTCATTTAACCCCTTCTTTCCCCTACTGGAGTGTTTTCACACCCCTGGTGTCCAGCTGTGGGCAGCCTGGGCAATGCAACATGTCTGTAGCAAGAACGGTGAGACACAGATCCATGCAAAAATAAAACCAAAGGTTATTCTAGCTTAATGTGATGCCTCACCTACTCAAACCTCTTGTGGATACTTCTGTGTGTGCAGCTTCTCGCTATTGCAGCATGTTGTTGGAGGAGGGTGGTCTGCAGCAGCTGGAGCATGTTCACAAACACCCACAGACCCACAGAGACGTCAAACTGCTGGCTGGGAGCATACTAGAGAGCCTACAGCGCCACAGAGCTCGCACCGGCCAGCCACTACACACACACACAAGTCGCCGCCCACCGCCGCAGTAACCTCACAGAGGTAAGGCATGATCAGCAGCTAGCTCACCCTCGCAGAGGTTGAAGATTGATTATGCTTTCATTCTCTTTCAGAAAATCCGAATCTCTGGTGAAGAAGAGGAAATTAAGCTGGGTCCCACCGTGGATGGGAGGTGGTGGTCACGTGTGTGTTTGTGTGTGTGAGAATATATCTCACACACAAACATGGACTTACAAGAATCTCTAAAAATGTAAACTGAATTAAGGACAGAGGCATTGCAGTTCTTTGCACAGAGTAACCTTATTTATTTTCTCGCTTTTTTTCTCTTTAAAAAACCATTTCTCTGTGTGCTTATCAAAAAATAAGAAAAAAGTAAATTATGATAAACTGTCTGTCACTAGACCTCAAATCAAATCGTGAATTTGTGTTTGGGCCTTTTTCAGTCAGCTTTTGGTATCGCACTTACAAATCTCAGTTTGGGAATAATTCCCCAAAGCTCAACTGAGGACCGATACCCTGATACCCTCATATGTTACAGAGTACTATGGATGTCTGAACTGGTTGATTAGCTCTTAAATTTACGCATGCCATCGCCCTGAGCTCAAGCATGGGGGTTAGGGTTTGTCTGAATGCTTATACTGTTCGTTTTAGGAATGCCTGCTTGTTTGTTTATGGCAGTGCTCAGTTCACTGAAACCCCCGCCTCTGGGTCTGCAATACTACTGCTGCTCTGCTCGTCATCAAGTCTTTTATCAGCTAACGCCTTTGATTTGATGTGACAGGACGCTTGCCGAGGGTGTATTCAGTGGGTTCGGGCGTTCCAAACATTCAAACACGATAAACTAAATTATAGAGAAATCAACTTTTTGAGAAACTCGATTGCATTTTTTTTCTTTAAATTTTCTAAACATTGGGGAGCCCTAAATCCATCCGCTTGGTCGCAGAGCCAGCAGTGCAGAAAGCTCACGAGGACAATTTACATGATAAGCTGAGTACTACAGTCACATGTGTCTGTTTACGTCCAAATATACTTTCCTGGACACAAATGGCAATAATGATGTGGCCAGCATAGTGAGGATAGGTGTACATTTGCAGTGAGTCACATCTGTTTTCTCTTTGAGAAACTTGTGTATATATTTATATATAAGTATGTTTTTGTTATGCATCTGAGTGTCTTTAAGACAGACAGCACTCCAGTGTGAGCATGTGTGCATATATGCGCTTGTACAAGTGTCTGCATCTCAAAGAGTGTATGTATTTGTACATAAGGATACTGAAGGGGGGTGGGGGGGGGGGGGGTCGTTGTTTAGGAGTGATTGCATGGAAATTATTCTACTGTATGTTTTTCAGTTCCATCTGATTGAACAAAGGGAAGAAAAACTGTTTATACAACAATAGAGTAGAAACATTTAAATTATTTAAAGGCATTTCTGTTCTGAAAGTGACCGGCCGTGTGATGTCTGCATCCTACAGGCTGCTATTTTAACAGTTATGCTTCTGCCGTTTAGACTTGCTGTTACAGCTTATGAGACTGGCTACATTTTTGTTGTTCATCTCTTATTGCAGGCCTTGTCATTTACTATGCTGTCAACACATAACTAGGAAAGAGTACTGAGGAGACATGAAGCAGAATAAAGTACAATTATTTTTGCATTTTGAGAATAAAGTCGACTCCCTTAATCCACAAACTAAAGGTAGGAAAGTGACCACTAGCTGCCAGAATGGAGGTGATTTTTCTGGTCAAAGTTTATTCTCAAAATGCAAAACTTTTACTGAAACACTTTGATAAATAACACTTTCTAAATAATTGGAGATAAATTTGTTTGGCAGGAATGCCAGTGACAGGTCAGGAGACTTGAAAAGATTACTGGATGTATGGTTATATAGATAAATATAGAACATTAGGCTCCAAAATGATACTTAAGCAGCTGTCAGCAAAGCATACACACCTCATCAGCTCAGTGAATTGTGGCCCTATTGTATTCTGTAAATCATTTGTTGATGAGCTTGTTAATGACGCATGTGTCCCAGGCTAATAGTGTTTCCACAAGGATAGTCTTAGATGACAGAACTTTTGGGGTTTTTTTTCCCCAAAGTCGTGTAGTTTAGTTGAATATCGCCCTGCATAAAAGGCCAGTTCTTAAGCGTTTTAATCCATTGGAAGATGCAGAAAGTCAAGGTACTGTATGTCTGCTGTGATTGTGCCATGTTGCTGCTCAGAATCGCATTTTCAAATTTAGAAATAAAGAATGTACATTGCCATAAAACTGGAGATGACCCATGTGCTGTCTTTTTTATTCATTTAGTTTCATTTCAAAGATGACCTTGTTCCTGATAAAGCATCAAATATAACAAATTATAAACAATCTGCACTTGTCAGTCTGATCCTGAGTCACAAAAGCAAGTGGCCACTATTGAGCACTTGCATGGCCTAAATTAATGTACTGGCACCGGCTGAGAGTCACAAAGACAATCAATAGATGTTAATTGTTTATCTGACATCGGGCTACAGAAAGCAGTGTGCCTCTGTGTTCACATGTCGGTACGACAAAGAAATCCAGTAGCTCAAAGGAGTTTATTCCCCAGTGTACCGCGGAGCTCTCTTCTCTATGAAGGCTGCCATACCCTCTTGTCGGTCCCGTGTGGGGATGACCTATAAAGAGAGGACAAGTAAATGATGATTTAAGTGGAGCGAGCATCAGAAGGTTCGTGTCAAAGCTAGGTCCGACTAGAATTTAATTTCTAACAGCCTCAGCATCAGCTATGTGTTGGGTTGCCTTAGAATTTAGCTCAAAAGAAAATTCCTGAACCACAACAATTATGCCAAATTAAAACAAGTGTTTCGGAAACCATAAACAAGAAGTGGAAGACTTACTCGAGCATAACACATCCTCTCTATCGCCATTGCTGAACCGATATCAACCTGGAAGAAAGAACAGTCACTAAATTCACTGATGTAAAGACCTTTAAAGAAGATCTGGGATTCATAATGTACCTCCAAGCCTCTGTTCATTGCCTCTTTAGCCATCCGCACTGCAATAGGAGCCTGAGCAACAGAAACAAAAAGGGTTAGATGCCGATGGTATTATCTCCTTCCATCCTAATTAGGTGCCCAAACCACCTGGATTGGCTCTACTTTAAATATAGGACCTTTGGAATATAAACAATGATAGACACAAAAATGCTCACCTTCCTTTACGTTTTTGTCTCTGATTCTTAGCTACTTTATTTCACTCTACCACTGACGTCCCTTTATGTTGTTGTTTATTCTATTTTTTGTTCAAAAATTAAAGTTTGAGAGACAGAATCAAAAATCCAAAAATATTAAACTGTTGATCAATCAATGTGAGCAATGCATTTCTACAGAAATTTAACTGGAGGAACTCTTTACAGTTTAATCACATGCAAGCAGCAGTACATTTGTCTTAGAAATTCCAGGAAAACAGAAGTGCCAAAATAAAGATCTACACCCTCTTATTATTTCCTCTGTGCTCCCTCACTTTGATTCAGTGCAAGATCCTGTTAATCAATCAATCCGTGCTAAATCGAGCATAAATGTGTTGGAAAATGTGATGGTGTATGGTGCTATTTGTGGTCCATTTCTCCACTTGACTGCCACTCTAACCCCACTGACTGTGGGCATCTGAACTGGAGTGAAAGATATATGGAACGACAGAGGCCTGGAGAGAGGGACAAGCAGAGGGAGATGGTGAGAGGGAAGGTGGGAAGAGGAAAAAAAAAAAAAAACAAGACGGAAGAAAGGAAAAAAGAAATGCATTGTTTTTGTTTCTTCCCCCTCCACTGCATCCAGAGAAAGGGGAAAGGGAGCAGATCCCCCTGCCTGAAGGAGGAGAGATGCAGCAGTATCAGAGCTTTAGCGGCATGAAAAGTGTGTTTGTACTCTAACCTGGGGCAGTATCTCCCTGGCCAGGCTGAGTGCCTCTCTGTAGGCAGCGTCTCCTGTCTGGTTCTGTTCTACTACTCTGTTTATGAGCCCCATTTCCAGAGCTGTCTGCCCTCCCACGCGCCTGCCTGATAACAGACAAGGAGAGACAGTGACACACCAAATCCTTGCTCACTGATGAGCATTCAGTGCCACTAAAATCACATCAATATTTCTGAATTACTACCTGTGAAAATGAGCTCTTTGGCCAGAGTGACACCGATCATCCGTGGCAGACGCTGACTGCCCCCTGCAGGACAAACCACCTCAAGGTCAACTTATCACAGCTGCTTTATCTCTATTTACATAGAGTCAGTGCAGTTCAGGGTCATTTCAGTGACCTCTGTTCGTCTTACCCGCCCCTGGGAGCAGCCCCCGTGTCGTCTCAATAAGACCCATCTGTGCCGAATTTGCTGCAACACACATACACACACAAACAGAGGACAGTTGAAGGTCTAAGTGCCATTAAGCTGGAGAGAGTGTAAAATCTGACTGATGTCTCTGTCAGAGCAATTGACACAAACACCTGCTCACCCAGCTCATCTGTGCTCAACCAATCACTCAGCTGCTGCGCCTAATATAACCAATCACATGAAGGTTCAAACGCATGAACAGCTGGGCAGATGTGGCCTCATTAGTCCCCAAGCTCATCAACAGATCATTAGAGCTCCATCGTCTCAGGAGTATGTTTTTAGCTTGACCATTGTGTATATAACACATTTACATTTATTCAAAGCTGTTTAAAAGCTGGCAGTTTAATTTCCCCCTAAGTTACTTATAAAGAGTTGGGAAAGTTTTGTTTCATTTTAGAAGATATTGTTTCAGTAAATTACCTGTTCATTAACTGTGATAGCTGAAATTGTGTAAATATTGTGTGAATAGTCCAACATATATTCATTTAAACTAAATAGTAAAATAAAAAAATTAACGTCAGTCTACATATAATGGAAACTTTTAAAATACACAGTATTTAGAAATCTTTTCAGAAACGTTTTCTGCGCTCTAAGATTATTTTTTGACCCCCCCCGGGGAATCCTGTGTGTCCAATGAGGAAATTGTCAATGAAGAGAAATGATCCCAAGTTGAAACTGCTATTCTCCACCACTGATCTGATATGAGTGGATTAGTGACGGCTGTAAAGGGAACATGACATCCCCTTTCTAACCTGATTAGCATCACCGGAAGAAAGAAAGCAGATCCGATTCGGAGTTGACAGGTGAAGTTTCAGAGGTCACTCACCAGCAGCGCGAAGGTCACAGGCCAAGGCTAACTCCAATCCACCTCCCAGTGCAACTCCATCCATCGCTGCGATGGTCGGCGTGGGCAACAATGCTGCCAGGTTATTGAAACAAAGTGAGCAAAGTTTACAAATGGATAAACACATTTCGCTTGAAAAAAAGACTGACTAATCACTCAACCTTAATGGGTTTTTTTTTACCTATTTGAGTCATGAGGGAGCGCAGGCCGTGAACAAACAGATCGGACTCAGAGTTGTTCATCAGAGCTCTCTCCTTCAGATCGGCACCTAACCATAAATCATAACGCACATGGTCACACATCATTACTGCACACTTTGATCACACCTTCCTGGCACCAGAGATCACTCACCTGCACAGAAAACGCCCGGCACTAAACTCCTGAAGATAACCACACGTACCGCTGAGTCATTGTACAGAGTGGAAACCACCTTCCTCATCTGCACACACACACGTCATCATGTCTCAGTGGCTGCTGCATATGTGTTTAATGTGTGTGTGTGTGTGTGTGTGTGTGTGTGTGTGTGTGTGTGTGTGTGTGTGTGTGTGTGTGT